CTCCCCGCCGCAGCCACCGGTGTACCACCCCCGAGGAGCGCCGCCCGTCGCCGCCCCATCGCCGCCCCCACGGTGAGCCCCTGCCACCCTGTTTTTTTCCTGTTTTTTTAGTTTAGTTAGTTTTTAGGTTCAATTAATTAAGGTTTTTTAGTTAATGTTTAGGTTTAATTTGTTTAGGCTATTTAGTTTAGGTTTAATTTGTTTAGGTTATTTAGTTTAGTTAGTTTACGTTTAATTAGTTTAGGTTTAATTTGTTTAGGTTAATTAGTTTAGGTTATTTAGTTTAATTAGTTTAGGTTGTTTAGTTTAGTTAGTTTAGGTTTAATTGGTTTTGGTTTTCTAGTTTAGTTAGTTTAGGTTTAATTGGTCTAGGTTATTTAGTTTAATTAGTTTAGGTTTTTTAGTTTAGTGTCGAGGGTCGAGTGGTCGGGGTGTCGTGTCGAGGGTCGAGGGGTCGGGGTGTCAGGGTGTCGTGTGGAGGGTCGAGGGGTCGGGGTGTCGAGGTGTCGTGTCGAGGGTCCCCCTCGACCCTCGACACGACACCCCGACACCTCGACCCCTCGACCCTCGACACGACACCACCGACACCCCGACCCCCGCGGGTTGCCGATGGTCGAGGGTTGCCGAGGGCACCCTGACCCCGACACAGCACCCCGACACGACACCACCGACACCCCGACCCCGGACACGACACCCCGAGATCCCGACACGACACCCCCGACAACGACACCCCGATATTAATTAGTTTATGTTATTAGGTATTCAATTTTTTTATTATATTCATGATGATGATACACACTAATTTTTTTATTATGTTTATGTTGTACTAATTTCGTTTACTCTTTGTCATTGCAGGTGTTGACAGATGGTGGGCTTGGGTCGAGAGCGCTCCGAGCCTCCTACCTCGGCGCGTGGGAGGGGTGTTGCTATTCCACCCCAGAACCTTTGGAGGGCACTGGTAGACAACATGCACACACACCCAACACCTTCGGCAGGCGCTTCTTGTTTGGCCGGGAGAGGAGGTCGGGGGAAGAAGAGGGGTGCAGGTAGAGGTGGACGGGGCGCTGGGGCCTGGGAGAGGTAGGAAGGTTGTTCTGCCTTCCTCGCCGCCACCCCCTGCTGAGTGTCCGGACCACCGGAATGCTCCATCTCAGGTGGACCCGTCTGACCTGGACCCGTGTCGGACTCCGGTCCATGAGCCTCGGGACGACGAGCCTCTGGTCGCCGAGCCACTTGTCGACGAGCCTCTGGTCACCGAGCCTCGGGTCCTAGTGTCTTCCTCCCAGGAGACTCGGGTCTCACAGTCTTCCTCCTGGAGACTAGGGTCCCAGAGTCTTCGTCACACGTGACTCCGGAGACTAGCGACCATGATGATGATGTCGAGGAGACCTTATCTGAGGATAGCTTCAGCGAGAGCGAGCGGGTTGAGGAGGGCAAGAAGGTCTACCAGCGTGGTGGTACTAAGCTACCATCCGTGTCGACGACCCGCGACCAGAGGTGGTTGATTCAGCCTAACGGGGAGAAGTAAGTGCATTAATTTACTCTTTTTAACCTTTTGCCTTCATGTTTGTTCAAATTAATATCTAATGTGTTGGCCTTGTCATACTGCAGGGGTTGGATACACGCAGACCGTGTCCGCAGGCCCAACCAGGTCCTTGGTACTCTAGTCCGGCACCACTTCCCGGGGTGGGTCATGTTGCCTGGTGAGGGTGAGATTCCACAGCTAGCACTGACCTGGGAGCTATACGAGGCTGCCCCGGCCTCGCCGAGGGAGATGGTCGACGGTGTCATGTGTGAGACGGCGGCTGACATTGTGAGGCGGCGGTTTTGGGTAATTTCTCCTTTACAAAATTAAAAATCAACAGTACCTAGTGATTGTACTAACGATCAGTGTTCTTGCTTGATTGCAGACCTTCTATATGTGTCTTGAGGAACACGAGGCGGACGCGGCTATGGTTCTCGAAGTAGAGTGCAAGCGCCTACTTCAGAACACATGGCACGAGGCTCGGGTCCAGGCTGTCCGAGACTACTACGTCTCGACTAACATCAGGAGGCAGAAGAAGAAGTGCCGCCTCAAGTATCTGAGTAAGGACAAGTACATGAATGTAATTACCTATTCTTAAGGCCTTGTACCAGTTTCCTTGATTTGATTCATAGGCGTAGCGCTGAAATTTCTCTTTGTCTAACTTAGGTGCCCCCGAGATGGTGTGCGGATAAGATGGACTGTTGGGAGAGGTTGGTGAATGAGTGGTGCTCTCCCCAATGGCTAGCCATCCACAACAAGGACATGGACAAGCGTGCCCAGATGCGAGGTGTGCCGCACCATCAAGGGAGCTCCAACCTGTTTGAGTACGGGGATCACCGGGTATGTGGTTCAATTCATGCAATTTCATTTTTCATGCTAGCTTTAATTACTAATTTACCCTGTTCCTCTCTTTCAGGCGCGACACAACAAGAAGGAGGTGCCGCCACTGTACGACCTCTATGCCATGGCCCATAATGCCCCATACAAGAAGGCCAAGGCATTCTCGGAGGAGGACCTCAATCATCCAGATAGCTTCACCAACATTTCCTTTCACAACAAGTTTATGAGGTACAGAGACTGGGGGAAGGAGATGAAAGGCGAGGACTTCAATCCGAGCCAGAGTCCTTTTGATCCTGAGCTCGTGATGCTATCTGGTGATGGGAGGAAACATGGCCACGTATTCATTGGGATGGGATAATAATGTGGATCTCATGCTAATAATGTGGTAGTTGTTGCTCAGTTAATTCACAAGCTAGTAAAATTGTTTTGCGGTGCTCTTTTTCGCTACTCCCTTTGTAAAGAAATATAAGAGCGTTTATAGATCACTAAAGTGTTATGTGGTGCTCTTTTTCGCTGCTCCCTCCGTAAAGAAATATAAGAGCATTTATAAATTACTAAAGTCTTATACTCCCCCCGTTCCTAAATATAAGTCTTTTTAGAGATTACAACAAGAGACTACATACGGAGCAAAATGAGTGAATCTGCACTCTAAAATATGTCTATATACATCTGTATGTTGTAGTTCATTTGAAACCACTAAAAGACTTATATTTAGGAACGGAGGGAGTATCTATAATACCTAAATAGTTCATCCCCACTATCTATTTCTCTTGACATGCAGCCTATCCACATCAGCAAGCCAGCCACATCAGCATTCTGTTACCGGCTTACAGGTGGGACCCACCATAGGTTGACCACAGCCACATCACCGTTCGGTTACAAGCACGAGAGACCCACCACAGGGCTAGCGACCTACATATAGTGTGTCCGTCCCTCTTCCTCGATTCAGCCAAACGCATCCACACCTTTTCCCTTCTTATAGTCCGGTGCGGCGGACGACATCCCATCTCTCCCCTCCTACAGCACCGTCAACTCGGCTCCCCCATGTGATACTCCGCGGATTTCAAAGCGGTGTGGTTTCTGTAGTCCCTGGTTACATGGTCCCAATCCTCAGCTACCGATCGGATTTCATCAGTGGTGACAGCGGCAACTTGGAGGGGCCTCCTCACGTGCTTTGTGTAGGGCGGCGGTTACAGGGAGATACAACAGGAGGTGCGGCCGACGACGAGCCCTCGCACCTTGACCCTGGACGAACCCGGAAAGATCGGCTTCGGCCCCGTCTATAGGAGCTCCGTTGACGGCGGCCTTCGCCCCAGCCTTCCATGCAGTAGGTCGCCGCCAAGTACCTCAACAGCGACGGCGTCCAGGGGCACCGCGAGTGGCTGGTGCGTGGTTGTTCTCCGGTGTGAGAGAGTCCAGTCACCAACTACAGATCACTAGTATAATGCCCGTGCGTTGCTACGGGCTCCTTGTATATGACAATGGTTGTATGATATATACTTTACCCTTCTACTAATCATGCTTACCCATCATTGTCGACCTTTTTATGTAAAGACCCTCTTTCTCACCCTGTCTC